GGGGGGGGGGGGGCTTTCTCTCAGGAGACAAAGGCTGATAACAGTGCGTGGAAAAAAGCGTGCACGTCCCGATCGCCTTCAAACATCAGCTGACGCGCTAAAGTCGACACGAACCCGCTGAAAAGCAAAGAGAGAAACGGAAAAACATGGGAGTCTATCGGTCTGGTTTTTAGTGGGTTTTTTTTTCCTCTACAGCCGCGCGCGCACGCAGAAATATAACTCCGGTAGGACTCTAGTGAAGAAATATTCTCTGAACAAACTCTAGCAAAGATAGAAAAGGAGCAACGACCAGCTCAGCTGGTCCGAGTCTTTATTCCAAAGCCGGGAGTCAGGTACGTCTCCGCACGCGCTGGACGCCGCGGCGGCTCCCCCAGAGGGCCGCGGTGGTCAGAGGTGGGTCGGGGGGGGTGAGCGGAGGGCCTGGGCAGACTCCGCCCCCCTCCCTGGGCGCCGGCCGCCGGGCTTATCTGTCCTGCAGCAGCTTGAGGGCCCTCTCGATGTTCATGCGGTGGCCCACGCGCGTCACGCCCAGGTCGATCAGGTCCTCCTTCTGCAGCGAGGGCAGGTGCGCGCCCTCGATCTCGTTGTCCAGGAAGGCGTCGCGGTGCTCGCCCAGGTGCAGGCTGTCCAGCCAGTCGGCCACGTCGTGCTTGCTCCACAGCTCCACGGGCTTGGAGGCCCAGGGCCGGCCGGCCGCCGCCTGCATCAGCGTGAGCGGCGAGGGCGAGCGCGAGCTGCCGCCGCCGCCGCCGCACGAGGAGCCCAGGCTGTAGCCGCCGCCGCTGCCCAGGGGCGGCGTGGGCAGGCCGAAGACGTCGGTCAGCGTGGGGGAGGCGGAGGGCGGCAGCGAGGAGCAGGGGGTCAGGGAGGAGGCCGAGTCCGGCGGGCTGCAGGGCAGCGGCTGGGAGGGGAGGCTGCCGGGCGGCGTGGAGGCGGCGCCGCGGGGTCCTGAGTCGTCTGTGTGGGGCCTGTGGAGGGGGGGGGGGGGGGGGCAAAATGTTATTTATCATTTATCTAACTTCTGGTAAACAAATAAATATATCACTGAATCAAATGCTGAGTGGTGGAATCAGGAGGTCGTTCATTCAATACAAAACCAGAACAAGCAGCAGAACCAGAATCTGCAGATAAACCAGGACCAGCAGAACCAGAACCAGCCGATAAACCAGGACCAGCAGAAGAACCAGAACCAGAACCAGCAGCAGAACCAGAACCAGCAGAACCAGAACCAGCCGATAAACCAGGACCAGCAGCAGAACTAGAACCAGCAGAACCAGAACCAGCCGATAAACCAGAACCAGCCGATAAACCAGGACCAGCAGCAGAACCAGAACCAGCCGATAAACCAGGACCAGCAGCAGAACCAGAACCAGCAGAACCAGAACCAGCCGATAAACCAGAACCACCCGATAAACCAGGACCAGCAGCAGAACCAGAACCAGCAGCTCTTTGAATCCTCAAAAATTGGTTTCCTGTGTGTCAGACTGTGTTTTCTTTGGCCTTTTTCCTCCATCAGCTCCAGAAACAGAACAGATGATGTGTCTCTGTGACAGGCTGCTGCTGACAAAGAGCCTAAAGATCCACTTTAAGCTGCTGCTCTGCTGGTTGGACACAACGCTGGCTCAGCCCTTGAGTTAGGGGCCTTTTTCTGACTCAACTGGCTTAAAAAAGGAATAAAACTGGATTAGAAATTAATCAAAAAGTAGAAAATGTTAGCACAAAACGCTGAAAGAGCTCAGAAATCCTGGCTCAGTGTCACTAAAGAACACTTTAGTGACTACTTTTCCCTCAAAGAAGACGTTTGTCTGCTTTGAGGGAAAACATGAAGAAGTCAAAGGTGGATGAAGACTTTTATAACTAATCTTTCTCCTCCTAAAATTGCATCCTTTCCTCGTGAGTCTCCAGTTTCAACTGCTGGCTCACCCCTTGAGTTAGGGGCCTTTTTTCTCCCTGAATGACTCAGAGTTCAGCTGCTGAACAAAGAAGAAACACAGTTTCATCACATCAAACGGTAACTGATGAGTCTTTCTCTGTTTTTCTTATTGACTTTTTTATGTTTTAATGGAAAAACAGTGAATTCTTACAGTGGAAATCAGCAGTTTCTGCTTCTTGAATTCTTCCTGTAAGAACAGAAAACAGCATGGAGCTGTTTCTGTCCCTCCAACCCCTGAGGCAGAGCTGCCAGGCAGAGGGTCAGAAACAGGCCTAGCCCGGCCCCCCCGCCCTGTTTAGGGCCATATGGAGCAGCCTGAGGGGACGGGGGGTTAGTGGGCCAGTGCAGCTCGGCCCGCTGCATGATGGGAAACTCAGGCCGGCCAGAACACACCTGGCCGGCCTCTCTGTCCCACTGAGCTGTGATTAGCTGGTAGGCTAATTAGCTGTTGGGCTAATCAGCTGTTGGGATAATTAGTTGTTAGACCAGTTAGCAGCCGCTTGTTTAGCCTGTTAGCGTTTGTATGGAGGTATGGTTGTCTGATTTATGCAGACTAAATGTCTTTTGATAAACAGTCCTCGATAATTTATCATAGATCGGCTTCCTCTCAGGTTTCTACAGATGTATTAAAGCTACACGGTGTAGGAATTCCTCCATCGAACCGCTCTCTAGCGCCTCCGTTTCCAAATGGGTGTTGCAGCTACGGTAGCCGTCAAGCATCAAGAAGTAATGACAACATGACTTCCACATCATGGAGATTTGTCTGGTGATGAGGTTTGTAATTAAAAGAAATGACAAACTGCATTAAATCATTAGTGTCAGCATGTAATTACTCCAACAAGATAGCGAATTACGTTACCATGTTAGCTTGTTCTTTTGTTTGTAGCTTGCCATTACTTGCCTATGTCGTAGCTAGCGTTAGCTAACAACTTGACACAAAACAAATGAATGTTATAGTATGAATCACATACTGAAAAACATTAACTATGTTAATTAATAGTGACGTATTAGCATAAACTATGCTAATTAGTAGTGAAATATTAGTATGAACTGTGCTAATTAGCAATGATACAGC